TTACCCCCCCCCCCCCCCCCTCTACATCACTCATGTACATTATTAGTTTAATTGACATAAACTTATTCTCGTTTAAGAAGATTATGTTTGAATATTATTTCTGAGGGGTTTAAATTTGAATATGGTATTTAAGTTGAAGAAGATTTAAATGCAATCTCAACGTTGATCTAAGGCTACCCTGGTTCTGCTGGTTTGTTGGTTTAATGCAGAAGTTTAAGTTTCTCTTGATTATACGCTTTCTGTCTTTTTCTGTAACTAGAGTATGGCTGAACCCACATATCTAGATTCTTTTCCAATCTCTGTCTTTTTCTGTACCTAGAGTAGGGGCAATCCCACATATTTTAGTTCTATTCTACTCTTTGTCTTTTCTGTACCTAGAGCTTGGTTGAACCCACATATTTAACTTCTATTCTCTGTCTTTTCTGTACCTAGAGCAGGGCTGAAGCCACATATTTTAGTTCTATTTTACTCTTTGTCTTTTCTGTACCTAGAGCTGGGTTGAACCCACATATATGGTTATATTTTATTCTCTGTCTTTTCTGTACCTAGAGCAGGGTTGTACATAGGTTCTAGTCTTTACAATCTGTCTTTTCTGTACCTAGACCAGGGTTGAACCCACATATTTAACTTCTACTCTCTGTCTTTTCTGTACCTAGAGCAGGGTTGAACCTACATATATATGTTCTATTCTATTCTCTGTCTTTTCTGTACCTAGAGCTTCGTTGAACCCACATATATAGGTTCTAGTCTATGCTCTCTGTCTTATCTATACCTAGAGCAGGGTTGAACCCACATATATAGGTTCTATTCTACTCTCTGTCTTTTCTGAACCTAGAGCAGGGTTGAATCCACATATATAGGTTCTATTCTATTCTCTGTCTTTTCTTTACCTAGAGCTGGGTTTATTTCTATTCTACTCTCTACCTTTTCTGTAACTAGAGCAGGGTTGAACCCACATATATAGGTTCTATTCTATTCTCTGTCTTTTCTGTACCTATTGCTGGGTTCAACCCAAATAGCTTAATTATATTCTATTACTCTCTACCTTTTCTGCACCTAGAGCAGGGTTGAACCAAAATACTTTATTTCTATTCTACCCTCTACGTTCTAGTTTAAACATTTGAAATTTTAATCGCGAATTCATCTTGTACATCCCAAAGTTTCTAGTGTACAAACACACATTGAGATCCTTTAAACATTTTGATAAGAGATGAAACTTATCAAGTTTTCATATCTCTACTGTACGCTGTACACTGTACACTGTATACTGTACACTGTACAGTGTACATACACATATTCAGATCTTTTACACATTTAGATTTAAGATAAAATTAACAATTTTTTATATCTCTATTTTAGTTTCATATCTCTAGTTTAGTTCTAATATGTCAAGTATGTTCTTATATTTCAAGTATGTTCAATTATATTTCAAGTATGTTCTTATATCTCAAGTATGTTCTCATATCNTCTTTCTGTGAGTTCCCAAGTCTCTGTACCCTTTTCTGCTAGTTCCCAAGTCTCTGTATCTTTCTGCTAGTTCCCTAGTCTCTGCACCCTTCTACCCTAGTTTCCTCGTCCCCTCCTACCAAAGTTCCCTTGTCTCTGTATTCTTTCCTGTTAGTTCATAGTGCCACTGTCTATGTACCTCTCAACCAAAGTTACCTTGTCTCTGTACTCCTCAACCATAGCTCCTTTGTCTCTGGACCTCTCTTCCATAGTTACCTTGTCCCTGGACCCCTCCTCCATAGTTCCTTTGTCCCTGGACCCCCCCCCCTCCCTCTATAGTTCCCTTGTCTCTGGACCACTCCCTCAAAGTTGCCTTGTCTCTGGACCTCTCCCCCATACTTACTTCCCTTGTCTCTGTACCCCTCAACCATAATTCTCTTGTCTCTGGACCCCTCCCCCATAGTTGCCTTGTCTCTGGACCCCCTCATAGTTGCCTTGTCTCTGGACCCCTTCCTAGTAGTTTCCTTGTCTCTGGACACCTGAACCATAGTTTCCTTGTATCTGGACCCTTCTCCCATAATTCCATTGTCTCTTGCCTCCTCCCCATAGTTCCCTTGTCTCTGGACCCTTTTCCCATAGTGCCGTGGTCTTTGAACCCCTCCTACATATTTCCCTTGTCTCTTGCCTCAGTCCCATAGTTCTCTTGTCTCTGGACCCTTCACCCATAGTTCTCTTGTCTCTGGACCACACCTCCATAGTTCTCTTGTCTCTGGACCCTTCTCCCATAGTTTTCTTGTCTCTGGACCCTTCTCCCAATTTCCCTTGTCTCTGAACCCTTCTCCCATAGTTCTCTTGTCTCTGGACCCTTCTCCCATAGTTATCTTGTCTCTGGACCACACCTCCATAGTTCTCTTGTCTCTGGACTCCTCCCTCCTTGTCCCGACTAGATCGCAATTCCAATAATTTTCTTCTTGTTCTCCTCTAATAAGATTGTTCTGTCCCGTCTCTCTCTAAACCTGTCACTCCAAGTACTTTCCTAGTTTTTGCAACCAGGAATCTTTATAGAGTAATCCAGAGTACCCACAGCTACTTTTAACTCTGAATATAGAGCTGTTATAGTACTGAACCCGGAGCAGAAGCTATTTATTCGTCCTTCATTGAGAATATGTCGGAGAATATTTGACAATATGATTAGCATTGTATCTTCTGTTATTTAACGTTACATTCTATTCTTTTTAAGATTACAATTATTACAATGTATAGATTATATACATATATATATATATATCTATATATATACATATATATATATATATATATATATATATATATATATATATATATATATATATATATATATATATATATATATATATATATATATATATACAATATACTACAGTAGCTTCAACCCATCCTTTCTTCCCCTCATACCAATTACAACTGTTTAATTGTCTTCACGTAATAGAAAGTTTCCTCCTTCTACATTCTACTCTACAGTCTACATTAAACTTACATTCAAGATAAAGATAAAATTCTTTTCCTAGATGATCTGGTGAAACTCTCCTAGATGATCTGGTGAAACTTTCCTAGATGATAAAGTGAAAGCCTTCCTAGCTGATCTTGTAAAAGCCTCTTCTTCATAGATTATATGAAACCATCCCAGATGATCTAATGAAACTCTTCCACGTGATCTGATGAATCCATCCTAGATGATCCGCTAAAAGTATCCTAATCATCTCTTGGCTGCTAACAACAAAATAAACAAGGTAATTAGATGAGATGACTTGACTTGAGTTGTTTGCAGATGATGATTTTTTTGGCCGCTAGGTGTCTCTGCCAAGTAAAATCCCTGAAATAATGAGAGCAGAGACACCTTGCGGTCAAAAATCGTCATCAAAAGTATAATGTCTATTCAATAATAGCAAATTGAACATGCAATTCATATTAGGAGCTTGCCTAAAATTTCTAGGGACCTCTGGGTTATCATAATTTTCAGATTCGTTCCGAATTCGCTGAATATTTTCTGTTTAAATTTTTATTCAAATACCATATCACATATATATATGAGTTTTTGCAAAACTTGGGCACAGTTTTATATCAATCTTGCGAGATAGGGACATTAGATAGAACTATTATTGGTTGCAATCAACTCCTAAAATTGTTAGGCTTGAGCCTATACCCCCTTTCATTTACCTTAACAGTCTCTTAAAGAATAAAATCAAGAATACAAGTTAAACTGCCTCAAGAAAAAAAGAAAAAACGGATTCAAGTAAAAATAGACCAACAAAAATCACAATATTCTTCCTTTAGCATTTTTAGTAGAAAACCTGGATTGAATCGATTTGCTAACTGATTGTTTCTGACTTATTAATCACATAGATGGGAGTAAACAGGAGGGAGGAGGATAAGGTTTCTGACTGATTAATCACATAGATGGGAGTAAACAGGAGGGAGGAGGATAAGGTTTCTGACTGATTAATCACATAGATGGGAGTAAACAGGAGGGAGGAGGATAAGGTTTCTGACTGATTAATACATCACATAGATGGGAGTAAACAGGAGGGAGGAGGATAAGGTTTCTTACTGATTAATACATCACATAGATGGGAGTAAACAGGAGGGAGGAGGATAAGGTTTCTGACTGATTAATACATCACATAGATGGGAGTAAACAGGAGGGAGGAGGATAAGGTTGGGGAAACTATTGAGAAAAGGGAGGAATATCCTTTATTCTTGTAATCTAGTAATCCTCTGACCACCAGAGAAATATCCCTCCCCCTACTTAACACAACCCCCCTACCCTCTGACAACTCTAATTAAGAAAAAACCTTGCCGGTTATTGTTTAAAAAAGAACAGACAAAGTATATTTTTTTAAAACATTTTTGGCGAAAAAAGGTGGATTTATTAGTTTTTTAAAGTAAAAATTGACGATTTTAAATTGTGTTGTCTTGCGGAATTGTTGCTACTGATGCCATGAAGATAACAATCAGAATTCAACACTTTTCAAGATAAAAGACGACGAGGTTTTTCTAATTGTTACTTAGATAACGGGTTAAAAGGAACTTTGTTAATCAGACCTGACACTCTATATAACCGAAGGGTCACTTATGTCAACATCCCCTTTAATAAAATACCAGTTTTTGAAAAGAAACATTCTCTATTTTGTTATCTAGTAATCTACTGAACTGTAGCCACAGAATAGAGATTAGAATAGAAGGGAAAAATCCCTTTGGTATGAATTTTGTAAGTTCCTTTGAGCCTCAAAAAGTGTTCAAAGTGTACAATTCATGTGAATGTTCACAAAGTACATGCTGTAAATCACAATAATACAGTATGATCCCTGGATATATCCGTAACTATTTCTTCTTTTTATTAAGTTAATGCTAAAATGAATTCGGGAATGCATAAAATGTTGTTCGAGAATTGATTTAGAGAAGATTAAATAGTTTTCAGAAATTTTTTCTAAGTAAGATGTTCCAGGGCTCAATAGGTTAAATTGTGTGAAGTACACCTGACCTGCAGTATGGAAACAGTACAACAAAATGGCGGTTTTACACTTTTTTCGAGTTAATTCCATTCTATACTTATCTATTCTCTTTGATTGTAGTCTACTGAGAGCTGACAGGTGGGGTGGTGGTGTGCCCATCCAACATAAATCTTTTATAGTCGGGCCAAACTCAATGGAAAGAAATTCCTTCTTTTACCATTCAGCATCAATAAAGGCTGTTACAGTTCATTGGACATTAGTTGTTCACGAAGTTAGAAGATGGTTATTGGGTAATCGAATTAAGTTTCTGCCACAGACTACAAAGACTGCTCATACACTGTACCTGGATAGGCTGAGCAGGCCTATAGTGTCCCGGCACGCCATGCTACGGTTCCATGTAATGTTTTTTTTGACTGACATCTTACGGCCACTTGTTTTTAAAGTTGTCTATTTTAAAAAGATTTTGCATTTCCTATTCAAAGGATCCTTGAATATTCCTGAATACGTATGTCTCCTATTTGGTCGTGTATTGTACTTGTACACAATAGAACATGCTGTGTAAAATATTGCTTATTATAGGTGTTAATCGATCTCAGTAACTCTCTCATCTCTGGTTCTGCACACTCCACTAGACAGAAAGAGAGGGTTAAATTTATTACAGGTACGAATTTGTGACCACGTAGCTCCTCTTGTTTTGATAAGATAGCAACTAGCAAGTTTATTCCGCTACATATTATAGAAATTCAAAACATTTTTCTATAGCTATAGCTTTTTTATTAAAGGAGTTATGATAGATATCTAGATAAGATTTTAATATATCTTGACTTGGCTGAAACCTGAAATTTTCATATTTAAGGAAATGTATTACTAACCTTATAAAATTGCAATTTTCTAATACCTATATTTTTACAACCAGAATAAGTAGACTTTTGATACTTCAAAAATGAATTCTTTCAGATCAAATAGTTAACATTTTAAATAGCAAAGCTTTGAGGTTGCATAGATATAAAGATTAGAAAATTAGAGATTGCAGTCAGAATCAATAAATTATATTTTAACTCCAATGCTTTAGAAAATCAGTCATCAAAGGTAGAAACATTTGAACCGTGTACAATAATTTGTTAAAGTTTAATTAGCGCAAGCAATTGTAAAGTTTAAAGCACACATCATTAAACATTTATTTTCATTATTTATATTTTATAAGAAACTAGCTAACGGGCCCGGAAAAAAATGTTTTAAAAAATGAAAAAAATCGAATTTTTTATAGCCTATAACACTCCCTGGCTACCCATGAGTGTCCACAAAAAGTTTCAGCCCAATCGGTCCAGCCGTTTGGCCGGCTATATATAGGCAACATATATATATACGAATGTCTTGTTTTATTATACTAGCCTTATAGGACGCTTCGCGCCCATCTTCTAAATTAATTGTGAACATGTTCTCTTTGTGTACATCGTAAAACAAAACAAAAAAATTTCGTGGATTTTCAAAATTTTCAAAAATTTAATGAAGATCAAATTTTGATGGAGACAAATATTTGAAATTTTGATCATTCATAAACCTTCCCTGGGGTCATTAGATGTCCCACAAAAAATTTGGGCCCGATCGGTTCAGCCGTTTTGACGTTTATTGGATACAAACAAACAAACAAACAGACACCCAAACAGACAGACAAGCCAAATTTATATATAGATAGATAGATAAATAAAAAAAAACTTTGAACACTAAGCATTATATTAAACCCAACCTTTAATCAACAAATCGATTCATTTTAAACCACAACCACGAGAAAAACATGAAAATTAATTCACGAAAGGAAAATACTAAAATAAAGTTGAAAATATTAAACCTTAATTTGTTAATTCCAATATGTTTACAACCAAATAGATATTTCATATTATGAATTCTGTGGAATCAAAACAACTTGGTTCCTTTGTTTAATTTGAACCAATCATTGCTCAAATTCATTGAATTATGTTTAAGAGCTAAGCTAATGGTTTAATTGAAGATAAGGTTTGACTTAATCAAATTACATTATCTCAGATTTCATTAGATGCATTAATTTGCATTGGATTGCATTAATATTCCTGCAGTATAGGATTCCGCTGTCTCGTAAACAATGATTTGGAGAGAATATTCTACAAACTGTTTAGAGAAATCTAAATACAGCTAACATATATTTAAACATAAATGTTTAGAAAATCAATGGAGTGGTACAAAGAATTTGAGATTTATTTATTTATGCTATAATGTTGCTTGTTTTAAATATAAATCAAAATTTAAAATGAATAAATTAAATACTAATTAGCTTATTCTTTTTCTAACATTTGGAACTCTAAAGCACTTGCTTAAGTTTTTTTATTCTCATCGATTTTTGTGTGAGAGCTTAAACAATTGGTTCACTGTCTAGTTATTTCCTGAAAAAGATCTCCACGAAATTCAAATGGAACTCTTTATAATTAAGAATACAACTAGAGATGTGCATTGGGTTGGTTGGTTTTTTGCCCACATTTTATTTTCGAGTCAGAATTTGGAAAAATGTAAGAACAGCCACTTACTTACACTAGTTTTGGATCGTTTTGCAATTTATTTTAGGATAAAAATATTGCAAGCTTTAATTAACAGAATAGCTAAAGATAAAACAGTACCTTTTACGATGACGTCGAGATTATCTGAAAAGAGTTGAATTTCTGGAATATCCTGTAGAAATCCACAAGTTGTTTTCTAATAACAGACACGCTAGTACAAGATTGTCAAGCAGTCATGTATCCGTTCTAGGAGAACTCAAATTCACGCTTTAGGTAAAAAATTTACCATATTGTGAAGACCCAGATATGCAAGGTTTACCAAACTGTGTCTTTTTGTGTTTGTTGAGTAAATGTTTTTGTAAACATCATTTCATTTTCATGTTTACACTCTAGTGTTTACATTTTCCCAGTAAGAAACATCAACCAAGAGACTCAAACTTTAAACATTGAAAACTCAGGTTCATTTGCCGGAACGCCTCAGTAGGAAACATGAACCAAGAGAGACTGAAACTTTAAACACTGAAAACTCAGGTTCATTTGCCGGAACGCCTCAGTAAGAAACATCAACCAAGAGACTGAAACTTTAAACACTGAAAGCTCAGGTTCATTTTCCGAAACGCCTTCAATCAGTTAGAGAAAGCTGATCAGTGTACATTACACATACAGACTGAGCCAAAAACTTAAGAAATGGTATAGTTATGAAAACCAGTTACGGAACCTGGGTTTCACTCATTGGATTATGCAGTGTTTAGGCAATATTTTTGTTATGAAATATTATTTTATTTACTTTCTTCATAATATCCATTTTTTAATCTTAAAATCAAAATCTACACAAACGATACACGGGAATTATCTCCTTCTATTAAGGGTAATGTGTACAGTGGAACTGGATTATCTCCTTCTATTAAGAGTAATGTGTACAGTGGAACTGGATTATCTCTTTCTATTAAGAGTAATGTGTACAGTGGTACTGGATTATCTCCTTCTATTAAGAGTACTGTGTACAGTGGAACTGGATTTGGATTTATTTTAAAAGCAAATAACTTTCTTTCTTTTCATACTTTCCAATTGTCTGGGTGTTTAACTGTCTGTCTCTTTGTATCCAATAAACGTCAACACGGCTGAACCGATCGGGCCCAAATTTTGTGTTTGAACTCACATGACCCCAGGGAAGGTTTATAAATGTTTCAAAATTTCAAACATTTGCCTCCAACAAAACTCGATTTTCGTAAGATTTTACAATCCATACAGAAAGAAAATGTACACAATTGAAAAAAAAATTGGCGCCCTAAAATCCTAGTTATTTATAAAGGTCAAAACAAAATTAGAGTTTGAGGGAAGTGTTCAATTTCTTTCTTTAAATGGAACCTACATTTTTAAGTTCCCTATAAAGATTCTATATTTGTGCGTAGATACAAGTTTAGAATATATATTTTCTTTTAAATATTTTTGTTTGAGTATTCTATGTATAAAAGACTATTGCAATGTTTTCAACATTTTGCAAAGAAATGTTTAGAACATAAAATATTTATTCTCTCCATCTTTCTCCGGCCTCTCGGCAAAAAACTTCTGGGCAAAATTGTTGTGCTTATAAGAACTGGTTCCAGAATCCAGCAGGGACATTATCCTAGCCGGAGCCCAGGACCGGTTTTTCTCTATTTACTAATAAATTTCTCTACAGCAGTACCCTTGGACCCTGATTTAACACGGGAAGAGGGGGAAGGGCTTGGACGGGAGAAGAGGGGGTCACCCTCGATACCAAATCTCCTGCCATGTCCTCCCACCCTCGACACCCTGTCTCCCTCACACCTTTAACATCTGATTTCTCCCTATTATGAAACTGAAGATCAACCAGTTTTTAATAAAATCTTAAAAAAGAAAAATCTTATAAAAAGCTTGAACTACCACGCAATGTTAATTGTGCAGTGTTTATACCTTATTCTTGTAATTTATCAAATATATGTGGTTTTTGTTAGAATTATACCCCCCCCTCTAATATTTTCTGTATAACTCATCCTCTTTAATTTACATAATGCACATCCACATGTATATATTTATCCCCCCCCCCTCCTCCTCGGTACCCGGTAAATATCTGTATCTTCTGAAAACTTCGGATTTTAGGGATAAAGCATTTTATGTTTGATTTAAAATGTTGAAATTGTTTTGAAACTAGAAACTAGAAACTAGAAACTAGAAACTTGTATAGAAATCTAGGATTTGTAGGTTTACAGGAAGCGGGTTTATACTATTCCAGGTTTAAACTATTCTGCCAAGGTTTAAGTTGTTAAAAAGGTTTAACTGTAGAAAATTTAATTTTTCAAAAATATGAAACGAAAAATGTGTTTATAATGGCTGGACAATTAAATGAAGAAAGTAGAAATGCATAAGAAAAAACGAAAAAAATATTATGAAGAGAAAACTTTAGTGTCATCGCTCCTTTTTCTGAAAAGAAATAAAAAAATCTAAAATTTTATGATGCAGCCATAATAAGCTAGTATGTTTTTTACTTAAAATCCAAGCAAGAGGAGCTATGGGGTCACAAAATCGTGCCAGTATTTTGGGTACATTTAACCTTTCTCTTATGTCTTGATTGGAGGCAAATGTAGTAGATGTTTATTTTTAAATTACGAATTTTTAAACACGATCTTTTAGAAGTACAAATGCATTCTGAAGTTTTAATGTTTACATAATTATATGTGAATGAATGCAAGAAGACCTCTAGTCAGATATGGTATTGGTAAAGGTGTTGGATTTCATTCAAATAATCATTCAGTCGAATAAACATTTTTGTCGGTATTTTCATCACAGTCGAATACACATTTTTGCCGGTATTTTCATCACAGTCGAATACACATTTTTGTCGGTATTTTCATTTAATCGAATGCACATTTTTCACGGTATTTTCTCGGTATTTTCATTTAGTCGAATACACATTTTAATCGGTATTTTCATTCTGTCGAATACACATTTTTGTTGGTATTTTCATTACAGTCGAATAAACCTCTCTGTCGGTATTTTCATTCAGTCGAATACACATTTTTATCAGTATTTTCTATCAGTAGAATACACATTTTTATCAGTATTTTCATCACAGTCGAATAAACCTTTCTGTTGGTATTTTCATTGCAGTTTTTCTTTTCTAATGAAGGGTAGGAAGGTTGCATTTTACGATCTTAATATAAAGTTGTTTTAAAAAATGTGTAAGCTAAAGACAGAAATCTACAAAAATGTAAAAAATTGTATATTCTGCAGTTCTTGTCATGCAAATATGAATTTACATAAAAGAATAAAAATATGAGGTTGCTTACTCTTACTTTTCCCATTTCGGAGTTAGCAGAGTATAAGAATCACTGCACTCTAATCTAAAGAACAAAACGAAATATGAATTCCAAATACCAGGACCTCAAGGTCATGTTTGGTCCTTTGCATCTATATTTAAAAAGTCGTAATCTCTGTCTGTTTGTTAGTCCGATCATAGCTCAGGAACTCCTTGACCGATTTGCTTCAAATTTTGATTAGGAAACTCGGGAGCACCATTGAAATATTCTTAGTTTGGTTTTGAGATACTAGTTGATTGGATCAATTTTTGGGGGGAAAAAGCTAGAATCGTAATTTACGACAAAGCGCGGATAAACGGCGGGACTTACTTGGACTACCCTGGGCAACGCTGGGTTCCCAAACTAGTTAAATATAATCTTGTAAACAATATAAATAAATAGCACAGCAAAGAAACAACTATCAATGTTGTCTCTGAATTCGATTTCTGTGTGAATAAGACAGCCAAATAAAAATTGAATAAATCTTTCTTCGTGGAACAGCTTGTATTATTCCATAGCATATTCATAAATTGTAAACAATCTAAATGTCCCAGATTTATTTCAGATTTATTGCTGCACATTTTCAAATTTTATATTAATAATTTTTCATTTTAGAGCATGACAGATGGGTTCTATTCTATTTTAGAATATTTCACACAACACATATTTTAGTTGGTCAGTTATGCTTGAATGAGAGAAATGTTTCCAACATATAGTTAGAAATAGTAAACCTAGCAATAATTAAAGTCTTCGATTTCTCTTTCATGTATAAATTGCACTAACGTATTATGCTGTTAAATCTCTAAAAATGCTTCCTAAAGGTTTTGTATGTGTAAATGATAACACCAATACTAATGATACTTTATCTTGTAGGATGTCAATGCTACGGGTTTGTAAGCGTGGACTGGACTGGATTAAGCTCACTCTTCTATTTACTGTAGGATTATTCCCATACGGTGAGTAAACTAAATAAAATTTGTACTTGATCAACTTTATATACCAGTAGGGGGCGTTTCTAGGGGAGGGGGCGTTCCTGGAAGGGGGGGGGGACAAATGTTTGAACTTAAAATTTGATGTCATTAAAAAATAAATGAAGATGAAAATTAAAATATTTTTACCTCAATATGGGTTTTGAAGTTTTTTTTTATGGGGAAAGGGAATTATTTTTTTAAATTTTAATTTTCCAATTTAAAATTATTTTTTTCATGTTTTTGATAAAAAATAATCCCGCGGTTTAAAGTTGGTTAAAGTATTCTGGACACATTCTCTAATATTCACTATACAGAATACTATAGTTTGTCTAGATGGTTAAAGTATTCTGGACACATTCTCTAATATTCACTATACAGAATACTATAGTTTGTCTAGTTGGTTAAAGAATTCTGGACACATTCTCTAATATTCACTATACAGAATACTGTAGTTTGTCTAGTTGGTTAAAGTATTCTGGACACATTCTCTAATATTCTCATTTCTTCTCAAACATTTCGGCCCAGGGTCGGACCACGGGGTAGACCAGAGGAATAAACTTTAGACATTATGCTTGCCAAACTGAGACTTGGAAAACCTAATTTTTATCTTTAAATTATATTTGATTTCTTGTATTCCGAATTAAACTCTTCAAAAGTAACAAAATAATCTTAAAATGTTTTATCTTTAATTCTTTAGCCTTAAAAATGAATTTGAAACATTGAGACTTTTCCCTTCCAAGTTTGCAGTTGCTATCTCTTGGCCAAAACAAAATGGGGGATAATTGGATTTTATTGTTTAAACCTGAAGAAATGTAATTATGTGCGGGTCCAAGATCTGATGATTGCAATACAGACCAGTTCATATATATTCTAAAACAGTTAACAGCATTCAAACTTTGACAGATCAACGATGATGGAGAACTTCAAAGGAATTGAGTCTTTGTCACAAACTCAAAGTTTCTAATCCCTATATCTTTGCAACCTGATTGTGTAAACTTAGATTATTTGATATAACAGAAATCATAGTTTGAAATATATAAGATATACGACATTTGGTTCAGTAGATATAAGGATTAGAAAATCTGAGTAAGTGGCAAAGACTCAATTCCTTTATCTTCATAAAAAAGCACGGTTAAATAAAAGTAACAAAATATAAAATTTCGCTTACAGTCCCTTTAAAAGAGATACTTTTATAAACTATTGTCTTATCTCTGCTGCTAGAATTTTCAAGGTACAAATAAAAAAGCCGTGACCGAAATTTTTTTATTTCAAAATAGGTTTTCTTCCAAACTTTTTCTTTTACAAAGGTTGATATGGTACCGTTGTGAATCGAGAAGGTATTGCTATAGGATCGGAAAGGATCAAGCTGGAAATTGCGTCTTTTTTGAACCAATTGAATTCTATTATCAAACTCTTCCTTTGAATCCAATTGAATTCTATTATCTAACTCTTCCTTTGAAACCAATTGAATTCTATTATCTAACTCTTCCTTTGAAACAAATTGAATTCTATTATCAAACCCTTCCTTTGAAACCAATTGAATTCTATTATCAAACTTTTCCTTTGAACCAATTGAATTCTATTATCAAACTTTTCCTTTGAATCCAATTGAATTCTATAATCAAACTCTTCCTTTGAATCCAATTGAATTCTATTATCTAACTCTTCCTTTGAAACCAATCGAATTCTATTATCTAACTCTTCCTTTGAACCAATAGAACTGTATTATCAAACTCTTCCTTTGAACCAATTGAATTCTATTATCAAACTCTTCCTTTGAACCAATTGAATTATATTATCAAACTTTTTCTTTGAAACTAATTGAATTCTATTATCAAACTCTTCCTTTGAACCAATTGAATTATATTATCAAACTTTTTCTTTGAAACTAATTGAATTCTATTATCTAACTCTTCCTTTGAAACCAATTGAATTCTATTATCAAACTCTTCCTTTGAAACCAATTGAATTCTATTATCTAACTCTTCCTTTGAACCAATAGAACTGTATTATCAAACTCTTCCTTTGAACCAATTGAATTTTATTATCAAACTCTTCCTTTGAACCAATTGAATTCTATTATCAAACTCTTCCTTTGAACCAATTGAATTCTATTATCAAACTCTTCCTTTGAATCCAATTGAACTCTATTATCAAACTCTTCCTTTGAAACCAATTGAATTATATTATCAAACCCTTCCTTTGAAACCAATTGAATTTTATTATCAAACTCTTCCTTTGAATCCAATTGAACTCTATTATCAAACTCTTCCTTTGAAACCAATTGAATTATATTATCAAACCCTTCCTTTGAAACCAATTGAATTTTATTATCAAACTCTTCCTTTGAAACCAATTGAATTCTATTATCAACCTATAATCAAACAAAAAAATATTATAAAATATTTATTCAATTGTTAGCCACAGGGTTACCCACAAAGGATGAAACTGTAAAGACGACCCAAAAATCTAAAAATTTGACGATTCAAAGCTTGTTTTTTGGGTTTCTGCACTCAATTGATTATTTTGATGGTTTACTGAATGATTAAACCAGACAATAACGCTACATGCAAGGAAGTCTCATCTTTTGTGGGTAACCCTGAACCTTAGATGAAATTACAACTTTTGATTATATTTATTTTCCCTTTCTCTAATTAATTTTTTTGCTTCCAAACGTATTTATCATTAACTGTATAATCAACAAAATGATTCGCATTTAAAAAGTGATTGAAACCTGTTTACGCCCTTTAGAAAGGCAGAAATATAATAGATTTGTAAGTGGCCTTTTGCCTTTAAAATGTCTTCAATCAAACAATTTTCAACTGCATACTTTTGAACACTAGCCAAACACTCAAATTGCAGAATTCCCATATTTTCCACCTAATGATGTAAATTTTGATATTTTTAAACTTTGACAATTAGATTCAAGAGAATTTATAAACATAGTTTGAAATATGAAAGGTCAACGACATCACGTTGCAAAGATAATTAAAAAAAATAGAATTTACAGTGAGTAAATGCGCTGGTTTTCTACTTCACTATCCATTAAAGAATTAAATCCACGAAAAGAAAATAAAATTAAAATGAAGAACCTGGAATCCATCAAGTCTCAAACTTTTAAAACATTTTGATGATGTTTCCCCGGATTTCCTGCATTCTCTGAGATCACAAGTTTAGACCCGAGGCGCTGAAAATAAATTTCCATTTCAAATAAAAAGAAGATATCAAGCTCAGAAAAAAAAAATTCAGTTCGCGCTTTGTGTGGAGTTTCAAGAATAGAAGATTAGTTTCAGTGTTTCAGAGATAAAATTAGGATGCCATTTTTGTTCGTAGTCTTTTAAATAGGCAAGGGGGTGGAGGGCTGAGGAGATGGTGGGATAGAGGGGGAAGGTTAGTATTTTATGTTACAAATATTCTAGAACAAGGTTGAAATCTGGTTTGGGATAAAGATTGTGGATGCAACATCTCCAGAGAATAGTTTAAGTACTTAACTGAATCCTGGAATAGTTTTAAATACAAGAATTTATGCTCAGGGTTTAGGGTTTTAGGATTCAAGGTTCAGGGTACAGGGTACAGGGTTCAGGGTTCAGGGTTCAGGGTTCAGGGTTCAATTTTCAGGGTTCAGGGTCTAGGGTAAAGGGTTTTAGGATTTAGGGATTATGGTTCAGGGTACAGGGTTCAGGGTTCAGTGTTCAGGGGTTCAGAATTCAGGGTTCAGGGTTCAGGGTTCAGGGTTCAGATTTCAGGGTTCAGGGTTCAGGGTTTAGGGTTCAGAGTTCTGTGCTTAGGGTCCAGAATTTAGGGTTCAGGGTTCAGGGTTCAAGGTTCAGGGTTCAGGGACTCAGAATTCAGGGTTCAGGTTCAGGGTGCAGGGTACAGGGTTCAGGGTTCAGAGTTCAGTGCTTAGGGTTCAGGGTTCAGGGTTTAGGGTTTAGGGTTAAGAGCTCAGTGCTCAATGTTTCTGAATTCAGTGTTCAGGGTTCAGGATTCAGAATTCAGGATTTAGGGTTTAAAAAAAATTCGACGAATCTGTATTTTATAGGGAAAAGCGGTTTTGACTCATATATTAACCAGGACATCGTGAGTTAGGGTAACTAGGATGTTTCTCTTCTTTAGTCCACCATCCTCTGTCGATCCTGTATAATTTCTAGCATAAAAGAGAAAAGGAAAGAGGCTAATTCCCTCATCCCTCATCCTACAGTCTAGATTACCTTACCATAGGTTATTCATATGCATGCCATGCAGGGATCCATCTTCATTCTATATATTGTCAACAACAACAACAACAACACAACATCAATGACAAAAACAACAACAAAAACAAAATGTCAAAAATTTATGTAAATCTTAAAGTTTATCGATACAAAATCTCAGATGTTGGAATAGACTTGGTAATTTTTATTAATTGATTTACTTGTTCTTTCTTATATTAGACTTAACTTATATTAGACGATAAATGAGCCCAAAATAACAGCTGTTTCCTCCTGGTTTTCCATATACTTGAGGGTATTTATAGACAGTTGTTTCCTCCTGGTTCTTCATATACTTGAGGGTATATGTATAAACAGCAGTTTCCTCCTGGTTATTCATATACATGAGGCTATATATAAACAGCTGTTTCCTCCTGGTTATTCATATTCATGAGGGTATATATATAAACAGCTGTTTGCTCGTTGTTATTCATATACATGAGGGTATATATATACAGCTGTTTGCTCCTGGTTCTTCATATACATGAGGGTATATATAAACAGCTGCTTGCTCGTGATTATTCATATACTTGAGGGTATATATAAACAGCTGTTTACTCCTGGTTCTTCATATACTTGAGGGTATATATAAACAGCTGTTTCCTCCTGGTTATTCATATTCATGAGGGTATATATAAACAGCTGTTTCCTCCTGGTTATTCATATTCACGAGGCAATATATAAACAGCTGTTTCCTCATAGCTCTTCTTTATATACATGAAGGTATATGTAAAC